AACTTTTTTCAACACTGGCACACATAACACAAACACTCTAATTAACTACTGAAAGGAAATAATTTAATGTCGCATTTTTCCAGCAATACATGCAACAGCTTTCTCTTGTGTTTCTTTCTGAATTTTGTGTTCTGTACTTGCACATTTAGCACACAGCACAGCTGCGCTGTTATGTCAACATAACATAACAGCATTCAGATTTGCTAATGTTAATAACTTGCGTGTAGCTTGGCACTACCAAAACTAATTACTGCCAGATTTTTATCGCATGAGAGAATGAATAAGACGTTAAGCGCATGTTACACAGTCTCTAATATATTCACTCCAATTAATTTAAATGTGAAAAATGTGTATGAAATTTTATTTATGATTGCTAATATTATTAAAAATTCTATTTTATTTCGTTTATTTTAATGAATATTAAATAAAATTACCCAAAACAATTTTTTTTTTTTTTGATATTCAGAATTATTTCAATAACTTGACTGTAAAAGGGACTTAAAGCTTGAAGCAACAACAATACAAAAAATATTTGCGCTATTTAATAATTTTGTTTGTATGACATGTGAATGTTTCAAGTCATATAATTTAGCTTAAGCAAATATAAAAAAGGAGTCCATAAAAAATACATTTCACAAAAGTAAACACTTAAATATAACTTTCATGATACATGAAAGCCATCCTAAGCGTCATTTAATTTAGCTTATGAAAAACTTGAAACATTAAAGATTAAATGGAATATGAAATTCATGTCAATTGAGCATATACATTTTGATGATTTCTAATTCTATTTGTTTTTTTATTTTTTTTTTTGCATTTAAACGCTTATACTCGTATGAAACATGCCAGGAAACTTACTCAGCTTGTTTACATATTCGTTTGTGTTTATCTAACAAGGATATTACTTGTTAGCCTTTTTTATTTGTGTCATGTGCCTGTGAATTTAAATGTCATTGCATGAGAGAATTTTTGTTTAAAATAAAACTTTGTAGTGTTTACAATAAATTACCTCCAGGAAGCAGCCATGCACACTTATGCTTTTGAAATTGTATCTTTTAAGTGTGTAAATACGACACACTCTACATAACACATATATGAATATATGTATATAAAGAGCGAATAATATAAATTATTACAAAGATTTAGTTAGAATAGATAAAAATAAAGTGCACATATTGTGTGCTAAATAACGAAAATGTTCATTTTTATAATTTATCTTAAATGCGAAAAATATTCTCTCTTTAAATGTGAGTTCAGTATATTTGACATACTTGTATATTTCTTTCAACATTGTCCATATGTAATCAATACAAAACCTAGAGTTCAATAAAGCAAATCCTTAAGGAAACACAATAACTTAGTTGCGAAAATCCAATTCTATTAACATTTTACCAGAACTAAATGGCAGCTTTTCATGACAGCATTTTCAATGGCATTAATAAAAGATGAACAGGAATTAAGGCATTTCACTGGCGAATTCAATTTAATTCTGCAATAAAATTTGTCACATATGTGTTTTGGTTAAATGAAATTTGTTGAGAAATTAATAGAAACTGTCAACATTAAATTGAAATGTGAAAACAATAAGAATTTTCTGAGTTTAAATACATATAGCAAGAAATATATGGCATAAATATTTGAATTAATTTATGTCATATATTGATAGAAGCAAATTTGTTTTAATATTAAAATAAATATATAAATTAACAGGATGCTAACTTCCAAAGCACCTGAATATTATGAATATGGCAGACTTTCTGTACAACCAACCAAATTCAACCGAACAGAAAAAACTCAGCTGTTCGAAAGAAAGACATATTCTCACCTATTATAGATTATCAAAACGTGATAGAAAATCTTCATTCGGTGCAAAATAATACCAGATAGTTACAAAGATTGCCTTTTCATGTCTTTTCAGTCAGAATCGAGATTCTCCCACATCAACTAGCTCTATCTTGTTGATATGGTTACGCAAAACCTAGTAACTCAAGACAAGATGTTGCAAGACATTGGGAACCTAGCAACATCAGCGAATCTGTTTTAATAAAGAGAAGTTATATTATTGTATATGAGCAGTAATAATTTTTGATTGTTGATTTACATCATTTTACATTATATTTAAATTGCTCTGAGGCAGGGTACATTAGCGAAACTTAAAAATATGTGTAACACATTGAAAGAGGCGGTGAAGACCATAAAGTATATAATACATATAGAACAAATATACGAGTTGGTAGATCAAATCAAAAGGTAAATATCAAGGTAAATATCATGTATGGTTCAATGTCATTATTAATATATTGCAAGATGTTTGGCTGTAAACATCCGATTGTGTTCAGAATATTCAGAGTAATCAGTGAATTTAGCGTATTTCTTTAATGGAATTTTCTGGAGAAATTATAATAGAGCTTATTTCATTATTTGTTGTCCCCTTAATGGGAATTCAGCACTTCACCAAATGAGTATGTGTTTCAAGGTTTAAACATCTTTCTGTAAAACTTATGAATTGCGTTAGATGCGATAACTCCTTTATTCCTGTGTTGATTTTTAAAACGGATTTATTTTTTTTCCTTAGAGTGATTTTAGATAAAAGGCTCAATATTTTTAATGCCACAAAATAATTCCGAAAGTGAGAAAAATGAAACAGTATTTGTTCTGTCAAATTTATATATCACTTAGCCACCAGAAATTCTAAATTTGACTGGAGCTAATCGAATCTATAATGTTCAAATAACTAAGACACTCCATTTACAATATGACCTGGGACCAATAGGTTAAATAAATGATTATGGTTAACTAAAAAATACATCCCATTTCCATACTCTACATCACTTTGTGATATTGAATGTCTTGATTACAGTCGACTATTCGTTAACGCCACCAATGCAGCCCAAAAGTATAAATAAGCCTTTTTAAAATGTCACTTAACTAATATTTCATAAAATTCCATAATGAAACCAGATGCCTGATGACCTGCCTGATCTTTTCTAAAAGATGTAATAAGTATATTGTACAGAGTTTTGTTAATTATATCATTTTTACTAAATTTCTTGATTTTTATTCGTCTTACTCAATTGCTATCTGGTTAAGACCACGCATGCCTAGTACGGCTATTATATATTTCTGAAAGTTATTTTCAAAATCAAAGTACATGCAACAATTTATGATTAAATTTTCGCTTGAAAGGTTATCAGATTTTTCCTTTAACCTTTCGAGTAGTTTCAAGCAATTCCTAAATCTTTAAAGACTATATAAGTCCATTAGCGTTGAATCACTTTATGTTTGAGTGCCCTATTTACTCCTCAGTACGAAATCACCATCTTAGTTTCTTACTTACAGTCTTCAGAGACAATAAATCTCTAATTCTCAACTGCACTGATCCGCAATCATCTAAAGCAATATTCACATATATATTAAATAGTCTTAAAATCAGATCATTTATTATAAACGAATAAGATTTTGTTTTTCCCTAAAAATTTTTTGTAGATATATATACATATATAATTATTTCCCTACTATTTACAAACTTTTTTGTTTTTATCGCTTACCTTTTAAACCTAATTATTAGTATACATCAAACCTCCTTCTGTAATTCAACTATAAGTTTAGAAGCTGAAGTAAATAAATGTTGAATTGAAAATTGAAAATATAAGCCCATATCATCTTTGGTTAACCTTAATCGAGCTATCTTTTTTAGAGATTGAATAATGTAATACCATTTGACAAATTATATTTGTAAATAAGATGAGATAATTGCAGTCAAAGCTCTCTTAGGCGTACGCTAATCGCCCAATAATTAGTTCCAGAGTTAAGAGAGACGTATGTTTGTAAGAACATACGTCTATTCAACAAATTGTTCAATGTCTGATAATGATTTTTTTTAATGAATTTTACTATATTTCTTTCAAATTGAATATTAGCCAAAAAAATAGTTTGATGATATGTATTCGACAATACCATAAACGGCTGTATGGTCAAAAAAAATTTTACAATTTATGAAAGTATATATGAAAGTATATATATATAATAATTTATATATATAATTCATATATATGTAATATTAAATATATTTTAATATAATTTACATTGCATACAATTTTTTGTTGTAATTTAATACTGTTTAAAAGTTTTCTATTTAAAAATTGGTTTCTTTACTACAATTGACTTTAAAACAAAATTTAATTCTTAGTTTCATTTACAGTTTCAGAAGGTTTTTATTTACCAAAATAACTAATAATTACCAATGAAAACTAATTACTCATCTCAAAAAACTCATCTAAATCATCTAATTTAGGTTCTTTTAAATCCCCAACTTTAAAAGCTAACAAAATAGATTGCAAAACCAAACTAAACAAAAATCTACTTGTTGAATTTTAAGTATTCATGTACCTATTTGGTTTAGAATGCCCGAGATTAAGTAAAAAATTTTCAGAAAACTTTCACAATTTATATTATCTTCCGTAGTTAAAAAAGTCAATGTTATTTATTTATATTTGTGAGAAAAAATGGCCATAAACTTTGGTAATAATGTTTAACTGCAGAAGCACGTGCCGTGAATAGTAGGAACCTAATGAAACTTTCTAGTGCCGTATCTATGCAGAAGCAGTTTTTTACTTTCACACAACTTACAAGCAACAAAGTAACAGATTAAAGTAAAAATACTTCAGCCTTCGGAAGATAAAAACAGAATTTTAGCTATAAACGAAATCATTTCTTCTCACAAGATTTTTTCGTATTTGATTGTTAATTACATGTAGAAGCCCACATCAAATAGTCGGAGAAGCTTCCCTTCCAAACTTTTGTACTTCACTAAAATGCTTGTTTCCGCATTACGCGCCAAACTTTGAAACTCAACTAATGGAGACTTGTTACAATGGAAATATTACACTTAAAAGATTTTTAGTGAAAGTTTGCTAATTTTAGGTTTTTAGGGCGTAAACATCACAACTTTCTGCTTTACATACAAATTTTAATTATTTTTCCAACATTTTTCTTTGCAGTTCTTTATTTTCCACGTTGCTCGGGGACCGTTCATTGAGGAATTCCATCAATGTGTGACGCATGGTTTCTATACTGCCGAGTGGCAGGAACAACTTTATGCCACATTCACTCTCTTCCTTACGTTCCTGCTTCCTTTGTGTATACTCTTTGGCACTTACATGTCTACTTTTCGTACTATTTCGAGTAAGTATTTAAGTGCAATTTAACATTTAAATTTTCCATATTTTTTCTTTTGCGTCGTCAGTTTTTACTTACCTTGAAATGTTCTCTTTGTAGGCAGTGAGAAAATGTTCCAAGGTTGTAAATTAGCGGCTTACACCAGTAATCCTTCAACTCAAACAAATCGTCAACGCCTGATACACAAGGCGAAGATGAAATCGTTGCGCATTTCGGTTGTGATAATATTTGCGTTTCTCATCTGTTGGACGCCTTACAATGTCATGATGATGATTTTCATGTTCTTGAATCCTGATAAACGGGTAAGTAAACACATGCGACCTTTTAAAAAAAATATACCAAAGCACTTAGATGTAAAGTGTCAATCATAAATAATAATGGCACAAAAGGATTATATCAAATTAAAGCAATTTTAGTTCCAAGAAGGCCAATACTATATATAAATAATGTACAGTGTATTTATGATAGAGATATGGAAATGTTAAATTATACGAGGGGGCTAACAGAAGTTCCCATAATTGACTACAAAAAATTTACATAATGAATTTCATATCATAAAGTGTTTTTGCAGGCTTATTGGTCAAATTTTTTATTGCTGTTTAAAAATAAATGACAACATAATAAATAACAAAAATAATAATTAAAATAAAAATGTTATTTTAATATAATGTTAATATATCGATTAATATAATATCGATGAAATAAAATTTATTGTAAAACAAATCCTGATTTCTGTTTTTTGATTATTATTTTTTACCAACATTAAAAATTTGACCAATTAGCCTGCAAAAAGGCTTTATTAAAATCATAAGGACACAGAATAATAAATATTTAAATTTCGCAACATTAATTTTTATAATTTTTTATGTTTTAAACAAAATTTCCATTAATTTCTATATATTTTCATGGCCTTTAAATCCACTTCCTAAGACAAGTTTGCGAATTCCCAATATAGCATTGGTATTCAAGTGAAGTTCGTAAGCAAATACATGCAAAATAATTTTTTGTTTCATAAAAATGTGAAAGATTACACAAAGCCCCTTAAAGTTTTGTGAATAAAGTCCAGAATTAAATCTATAGAAGAGTTGTTAATCTGTTCTGCTGACAGAAATTCCATATGAAAAAAGTTTCTTCAGTACGTTATTAAAGTTGGACAGTCACAAAGAATATGCATGGTGGTTTCCTCATCCTCGAGGCATAATCTGCATTCCGAATTAGCAGATAATTGTAGTTTATGAAGATGATATTTCAGAACATAATGACCTCAAATTACATTTCGAGAATTTAAAGATGTTCTGGTGTCCAGTGTTTTGCTTTGTCTAAGTCCTGGTAGGTCTTCCCAGTACTCCAGCCGCTTTTAACCTTTCCTTGATAATTTGTTTTGTACTGGTCCAGTTTCTTCCACAAAAGGGTTCAGGGTCTGTAAAAGCAGTTTTTGATGCAGTTCTGGCTAGCTCATCAGCTTGTTCATTTCTCAAAACTCTCCTGTGACCTGGAACCCAGTAAAAGCTAACCTTATTCGGAGCTGCAAATAACTGTAGGAGCTCATAACACTCAAGAACCTGATTGCTTAATATTCGTTATATTATTGAAGCCCAGTTCATTAGAAATCATTTACTAGACAATCTCGGGTCTTCATTAATATTGGACATCATAAGACAAAAATTTGTCCGCTACAATAATATCACAATGGATGGAGCTCTCTCACCATATACTACTTATATTCATTAAATATTACCACAAGCTTAAGCCTGCAATCCATAAAGAATAGCAAACTAAATCTGCTACTGAGATGGCGGTACAATTTGCACCGACTTATTGTTATTAAACTTCTATTTTCGTATTTTCATTTTGACTGCTTGTAGTGATACTCCATATGGAATATCAGATTACTATGCCAAATCAGCTACCATTTTTTGATTTGTCAAACATTTATTCTACGTTGCCAACTCTGCGAGCTTTTGTCAAACTCTCCGTATTGGATGAAATAGTAGCATGACAGTTCTACTTATATTATATAAAGACAGATATTTATATCTTGTTAAATATTTATATAAAGTTTATAAACTAACCTAAATATTTTGCATATTTTAATCCATATGGCTATCCAAAGTTTACATCATATGTTCTTTCTGCGATGATCAACTCTTTATTTAAAATGTTATGTGAGTAACCATCTGTTTGTGACCTTTTCTGAATTTGTTGTAAATCCCTAAAATCACCATATTTTATCATGCATCAACACTCCACTATTTTCTAATACATATTCTCTACAATCAACTGGTTTATATGTTGAAACCCGAAATCTAAATAAAAAAGTGTTTTAATGTCCTTGATTAACTTTTCCGATTGTCTAAATTTAAACTCCTTATATTTGGAAGTCGATAAGGGTTCCTTTCAAGCGTAGGGAAAAAAAAATATTTTAAACTGATAAAATTATCTTCAGTTGAATTTATTTCAATTTTAATATTTTATAATAAAAAATTTTTTAAATCTTTAAAGTTTGATTTAAATTTGTGTTCTTGGCACTTTTCCTTACCGAGAACCGTCCGTCTAACAGATTAAAAAAGGTTAAAATAAATTATTATTTTCTTTTTTTTTGGATAATTTTCTGCCAAAGTTCTTAACCGTCTTTAGTTTATTTTTGATATTTCCAGGCATTTTTTTGCTTAAGTGAATTAAATGCGCCTTAAAAATTTATGCATGAACCTTTTACTTTGTCAATCCTTTTTCACACAAAAAAGTAGTAAATTAAAAAAAAAACCAAAATATTTAAAACATAAAAAGTTAAGTAGACAATAAAAAAAAATATTCTCTAACAGCAAAGGAGGGCTCAAGATGTAGCCAGATAGATTATTTTTACGGGTATTCCGTAAGTTAATGTGAATTCTCGGGGCAAACTGACGGTACTTTGCCGTTCCATTTGCGGAGTAAATGAATTTAGGAATTTTGTGAGTTGCTGCGAAAGTACTTACGGAAATCAATAAAGGAGGAAATTGCTTTATGACAGCATCGTATGAAATTACACTAATTGGTGAAGTAGACGACATATAACATTGAAGGAGGTAGGGTGTAAGAAATAAAAAATGTGTAGAAATTATTAAGAAAAATTTAAACATGATGAATATTCACTTAACACGCTATTCTATTAAAAACAAAAATCGAAGTAACAATAGACACTCACACCAACACTCGAAATTTACTAAATATTCAGTGTTCCTTCAGTGTTTATTTTGCAAAAATAGCAGTTCTCTATCCTAAGTGAAGGCAGTAAAATCAAGTGAAAAAAATAATTATTGCAGATACAGCAACTGCTGAACTCGTTAGTCATTTGGTATTAAATGCGGTGTAATTAATTGCAATTTAAGTGTAGATACAAAGTTTTATTGAGCACATAACTTGTTACATAGACTAAGTCCCAGATAAATGTATGTGCTGTGGTGTAGGCTTAAAAGGATACGCAGTCATGCATGGTGAAAATAAATCGTTTCCCATATACGGTATAAAAATATATAGCTAAATAAAATCAGTTTTATTGAAAAGCAGCGTGAAGGCCTTTGATAAAGTTTATTGCAGGAAATTAATCTTGAATGTTAGTAAAGTTGTTCCTCAGTTGAGTCCAATGTAAACAAAAAATTGTTAAAATCATACAAATTAGTATATGACCTCTATAAACTTACTTCAATCAAACCGTATTTATGCAGCTTACCACGATATATATAACCTTTCTATACGTTTACATGGAAGTATATAAATTTTGTTGATTTTTTGGTTTAAACAAATCTCTGATGAGTTAGCAAAAATGTTGCATTTGCGAAAATAGTTTTACTGCAAATTTCATTAGATTTATTTTGCTGACCAGTTTGCTTAAAATAACACCAAAAACAAAATTACATTAAATAGTAAAGTACTATTTAGATGCATTATTCCACTTTATGGGAGCACTAAAAAGTATGTATGTAATACAAATTTACTACTATTGTGCAAAAAAAATATCATTTCTAGCCATTTTATATATTACGTTCATAGCTGGATAAAATATATCAGTTCAAACACTTGAATTGTATATAGTTATTATATGTCGATAACTTAGTGAGTTAAATAATGGATGTATTTATCACATTTGCTTGATGTATGTATGTATATATTAGGATGACCCGGGCGTCATCCTAATATCAAACTATTGGCGCCGTTCTACAATTGTCATACAATTGTTAATCATTGTCTGATTTGTTGACTAACTAATTTTGCAAAATAACTGTAGAACTGCAGAATTGCGTAGCTACATTGCCTCTTACAAATTAATTCGGAGCCTAATTCGCATGCGATTCTAGTATAACTAGCTAATAAACAAAATAAAACCTTAAAAAATAAAATAATTAAAAAAATTATTATACCAATTATATTATACCAATTTCACTATTGATTACACAAAGCCTCTTAAAGCTTTGTGAACAAAGTCCAGAACTAAATCTTGAGAAGAGTTCTTAATTTGTTCTGGTGGCAGAAAGAATATGTGTGGTGGTTTCCTCATCCTCGAGGCATAATCTGCATTCCGGATTACCAGATATTGTAGTCTATGAAAGTGATGTTTCATGCCCTGAAATGAAACCCGTTAACAGCCTTAAATTACATTTTGAGAATTTCAGTATGTCTTTGTAGTAGTACGGTTCGATTACTGCTAAGTCCTGGGCAATCTTCCCATTTGTTTTGTACTGGCACAGTTAATCTTACTAAGAGGTTGATTGCTTTTAAGTTTTTGATGAAGTTCTAGTTAGCTGATCAGCTTATACATTTTCCAAAACTCCCCTGTGATCAAAAATAAAACCTTAGTTTGGTATTAACTACAACTTACTGCGAATATAATTATCAGAACAATACCACTTAACTGTTTGTTTAAATATTTCGAGAAGATTCATAGGAATGTGGATTGTAAGGAGATGAAGTTTTGCTAAAAAAACTGTTAGTAAAATACCCAGTGCAAGTAAGGTTCTGGAATCGGGGATTATAGTTACTTTATTTAGTTTATTTTATAAACTCTTTAGATGTATTATCTACAAAATTAAGAATTAAATTTCTTAGTTAATCAAGGACATTAAAACACTTTTTTATTTAGATTTCGGGTTTCAACATATAAACTAGTTGATTGCAGAGAATATATATTAGAAAATAGTGGAGTGTTGATGCATGATAAAATATGGTGATTTTAGGGATTTACAACAAATTCAGAAAAGGTCACAAACAGATGGTTACTCACATAACATTTTATGTTACATAAAATGATTTCATCCATTTCGGTGTAATCTTGCTACTCTGGTATACTTAGAGTGCTATAAATTAATCTCGAGTCTTATACATTTTGCTCCACATTTACCAATCAAAAATGAAATTGCAGTAAAAGTTTGATGTACTTTATCATATATCACTATATCACTTTAATTCAAGGCCTCTCCCTCGATTTCAAATCGAGTGTTATAATTTTTGCCCCATATATACTAATCGAAAACTAATCGAATTAAAAATCGATTCGTAATCAAGTCCTTATTGAAATAAAGATAAATATTAATATTGTATAAACTTGAGGTTAATTAAAAAGCCTTTTTTTAGTGAAGATGGCAAATGTTTTTTTTATTAAATAATATTTAAAATTAGTTATTTATAATTAAATAAGTGCCTAAATAATTTATAATTGATTTATGTAAAATAAGTATTTAGTTCTTACTACATTAAAACGAGAATACTTAGTTAACAAAATTTTATACGAAAACTTTTTCTGCGCTTAAAGCAAAGGAAGTACTTTCATTTAATGAAAATAATTTAGTGCAGTTTCACTATCAAAGTTACAATGTAGCCACAGATTTATTGAAGAGGAATCCTAAACAAAATTTAATCACTTCAAGCTACAGCAGCTGCTGACAACGAAATTCAATTACTCATCATTTTTAAAAAGGATGACAGAAAATTTATGAAATCCTTCCAGCGAACCGAAACTTTTGCCTACTGGATATTTTAAAAAAGTTTTCATTTATTTTTTAGTTTGGCGAAGACCTGCAGTCGGCAATTTTCTTCTTTGGCATGTCAAACAGCCTTGTGAATCCACTCATCTATGGCGCATTCCATCTATGTCCCATGAAGCGGAAAGAAAGCAAAGGCAGTGGCAACAATAATGCAACGCACAGCTTAAATCGGTAAGAAATTTTAATTATTTTAATTTATTCCATTATTTTTAACACACAAAACAAGCACAGAAGCTCGAAATTAATCAAATTTTAAGTACTTCTAAGTAAATTATAAAATTCACTAAAACTAAAGCGAATTACAAGTCACATGAGACTATACTTGCCCACTAAATTGTAGACATCCTTTTATATTCCCTTGTATGTTAATATTTGCGAAAACTTTTTGCAGAGGCGACTCACAGCGTACACCTTCCATGTTGACCGCAGTCACACAGATTGACAGCAACGGTCGCCAAATTCGCACCTTCCGCCAACCGAGCTATTATCGCACAAATAGCAATGGCAGCAGCAGCTATAAAGAGCACGTCAGCCTGTTGCAAGTATCGCCCACGCCATCAATAATGCGTAAGTCAACATTGGTGCGCAGCCCACATCCGAACCAAGCAACACATTTATTGGCACACCACACGCATTCAACGAACTTCATTGACAACAGCAATGGTGGCATAAGTCCGCCACATTCGACAATATTGCTTAGTTATGACAACCACCGAGGTGGTGTGGCCACCACAATGAAAGCCCATAGCAATCACTCGCTCAGCAACCCCACAACGAACGTCGGCACGAATTTATTGTCCAAAAATCCATTGACAGGGAATGCGATGAATGCGTCCTATGGCTTGCACGGCTTGATCGACGAAAGCGTATCCAGCGTGTAATCAACAGATTGCGTGTTCCTCCTAACAAAGTGTAAATATCTATGTATATACTATATATAATGTATGTATTTATGTACATGGGTGTCAGTATATAATAAGATTACCTACTCAAAGTAGCAACGAATGGTTTGTGCACACTAACCGAATGCCTAATGGCAACTTGGTGATAAATTGGCTGAAACGCTTTTGTGGTTGTTTTTAAAATTATTTCATCGCATGAATGCATGAGGCATAAAATAATTTACTTTTATATCTCGTTTTCTATTTTAAATTTCATTAAAAATGGTAAAAGGATAATAAGCTCTCGTATATTCTAAGATCATTCATAAGTAATTTAGTGATAATTCTGAAAGGATTAAAATCTTTTATAATATTTGACTACCAACTAAAATTGTAAATTATTAGTTAAGAGATTCAATTCAGTTTCTATAAAGATTACTTAACTATATGTTCTAATATTAAAGAGTAATAATTAATTTAATTAATTATTTAATTAACTATTAAATTAATAATTATTAATGATTATTTTTTTAGTGCTCAAAGTTCTTAATATATATTTTTTAATTAATTTAGTTTCACTAAATAATAAAAATTAAAGTCTGAACATAAAAAACAATTAATTTTAAAATAAATAACTTACATTAAGACTTAGTAATATTTATTTATAATTTATATGTAAGTGCAGTGAAAAGTATTCAAAGCGAATATAGCTGAATCCAACAATGTTGTCGAATTGGGAGAATAATGTATCTTCTTAATGTTATAATGTTCTTTATTCAATGATTGCTTACAGACTAAATTTACATGTACCATATTAACATAAAACTAAGAGAGGTAAGCATTAGTAATAATAAGATTACCTTATTACTTGTTCATAGATTAAGGTGACCATATTACAAATGTAATTGGTTAGAACAACTTAAACTCAGAAGTAGTAACATCATACGATTTAGAGAGAGATTATGAGAACGTTCCTTTAACAGACATATTACTGTGTATAAAATTATATATATTTTACTGTAAAGTATTGTCTAAAATTATTGTATTATTAAATTTGTTTGTTACAATTATCTTAAACGAATTTAGTAATATACAATTCATATATTCAAACATAAGCCCATAAAGGTACGAAGTTTAAGTTTTACATTCAAATGTCAATTTTTAACGCCATCTGACATATAGTTTTTACATCAATTTTTAAATAAGCCATAAATTTTTTAAATAAGCCATCAATTTTTTAAATAACCCATCAATTTGTATTGTCTGCAAATTTACAATATCAATGATACATCAGACGTCTATACTCATACAATGGATCATTTTGGGTGGCCAGCAGTGTCTCTATGAATATAATTTTAAATCAAATTTGGCGCATTAATATTAAACAGAATTTCCAAAAACTTCTTTGTTGAACTGTTCCGCCTGGAAATTAATTCAGGGCATAATCTACACCGAATTAAGGGTCGTTGCACTATTTCAGTATACGTTATTCAATGCGGGTCAAATTGAAACTATTCAATATGAAAATTGGATTAAAGTAGGTTACGCTATTGCAGAATATGGCAGGCTTTTAAGTACCTAAAGCAGTCCTGACCTATTCTTTAAGCCGTATCATATACAATACCTTTTACTCATGATATTTTAATATATGGCAGACCAAAATATTTGTTCAGAATTAAATTTTTAATACAATTATTGGAAATGTGCTGCACAAATTTTTAATCAGGGTGACGTTAAATAATTCTTTTTATTTATAATTATTATATTTTTTATTATTCATAAATATTCTTCTTATAGGTATACTACAAAAATTTTATATTTTTGTTTCTACCTAATTAGTCTGTGAAAGCTAATTTCTTGTAATAAATTTTTTTCTTTTAATAATATAAAAATCCTATTTGTTAATAATTTTTATTATTTATTTAACAACACAATTTTCTACAATTTTAAATAAAAATTTAATAAATATTTTCCTTATTAATGTTATTAATATCGATAGAATAAATATCATATTTATTTTGTTAAAAAAATTATTTTTTTATATAAAAATATGTGAAAAAATAATATAAGTCAAGTGATATTATCACTTTCGAAACAGTTTTCCTCTTTCGGGCACTCACTTTTCGCGGCGCCGGATCAAGGTCTGTGCATAGGCATTCGCCTCGCCCTGCTTTGTGAAATTTATTTTGCTACTTGATGGAGACTCTGCTTTTAAGAAAATTTTGATCCTTAAATATAATATAGACATTTAAATGATAAATGTAATTTTTAAAGAACAATTCTGTAAAGCTAATTGCTTCTAATACTTTTTAATGCAACATGAATTTAATCCTGATTTTAAATCAATTATTTAAATAAAGTAAGCAGGACTTCATACAATCGTGTTCGGCAAACTTAAAATTCTATACATCCAAATGGTTGTGAGCTGAATTTTTGAATAATTTCAGTCCTAGATGTTGCTGCTTATATATTTTTTCCCTTTAAATGAACATCTCTGTCTTACTAACATAACTTAAAACAATGTTGAATTTTATAATTACTTAAAATATAAATAACAACAAATATATTACACTCCTATAGTAATATATTTGTTTAATATGTTCAGCACTGTCAGTAAATATTTTAATAATATTTAATAACTTAAGACTTGTAAGCTTTTCCAAATTTGCAACTAAAAAAGTCATTAATAAAAATCTCAGTAAATATTAGTAGCTTAACAATACAATAGCATAGATTAAAAAGACTCACTTTAGTTATCAAAGAAAATCGAGGTGTTCTGTACGTAGTTTGCATTTTCACTCCATGTACTACTTTTGCTAAGTTATTTGATCTTCTAGTGAAGCTAAGGGAAACTTAAAAGTTCCTTAAGTTTTAAGAGAAAGAAGAGATATTGTCTATATTAAGACGCTAAAGCTATCAAGAAAAGGAGAGGTTCGCTATCCATTGTTTCATTATAATTCTATGTAATCTCCTTGTTAAATCATTTGATCTTGTAAATGACCTCCACTATATGCATCTGCCAGGCCGGTAAGAAAATCACATTCCAGAAAATTAAATCGCTTCGGTTACATTCCCATGCCAAAGACATGAAAAGTGATTCATGCATTCCTTCTCTATCGTATTAATTAATATTCGATAATATTCGATATTCGAATAATTAACTGTCAACAAGAAACAGGGGTAAAAGTCATATTATTATATTGAAATAGAACAAGCTAGATGGTAAAAAGAGTGAGGGTAAAATAATATAAATAGGTTAAAGAAAAGAAATCAATTAAGTTACCTCATAAATAACTAAGTTCATAGTAACAGATTGTTTCAAATTTAAATTTTCGAAATGTTTTTTTAAATTATTAATTTTTAATATTGGGCATATATTATCAACAGATATATAAATAATTTATATAAATAATCAAATAATCGTTATGAGAAATTTCAAAAAATTTTGACCAGAATTTAGATCCAGAAAAATAAGTAATCCATAAGATAACTCTTTAAAGTCAATTTTTGAATATAACAAATGTTTGTTGTTTACCCTGATAGTAGATATTCTTTCTTTAAACGACTTCTTTAACTGAATACTAAAAAAGAATAGCAGAATTTATTTTTATTTCCAAAATAGAACTTCAAATTTGAAAAAATTAAAGTACAAGGTTATGCATTAAACTCAGTACAATCCTTGATCAGGGCAGAACATTGTTTTATATTGTTTATAAACTATATAATAAAATAATACGAATAGTAAAAAATAACATATAAAAATTGTGTTAATAAATAATAACTGAAATTTTTCTATAAAGTATAATTATATTAATAATTAAATGCTTTGATTATTGATTCACTCACTCCACGAGTATTCTAAGTTACTCATACGCCATAAATAAATTTATTAATTTCCTTATATAAAAGATTGTTTTATTTGTTTTATTTTTTTACTTTTAATACTTATGATTTTTATTTATTTTATATATATATATATCAGATAAATAACTAAATCAATGCATACGACGTATTATTAAAGTCAATTGTAAAATTATAATTATCGAGTTAAAACCAAAATTTTTAACTAACATAAATAATTAAAGCATTATTTATGTTAGTTAAAAATTTTGGTCAGAATATTTTAACATTAAACATTATAAATTTAATTAAATTTTACTTAGATTGATTAAAATTTTATTAACTAAGCTATTGTTAATTGGTTTTTAAAATTACAAGTAACATTTTTACGGCAATCAAATTCCATTTAAATTTAATTAAACCTTTATTGATTGTTAACTAAAAATTATTATTAACATTTTTTCAATATTCAAAGTCATTCAATATAATCTAAAGAATTATGCATAAATTCTTTAGGGAAATAAAATTAACATAAAACGAAAATTAATTAAATATTGTATAAAAATTCTGATTAATATTACCAAATCATCATCGGATAATAATTTCAATATGTGCCAAATACTTACTACGGCCATGTGCGAATTCGAGTTAATTGATGTTAAATTAAGGGAAATAGTAAATTATGTCGGTATGGCAGGGAATGTTGGTATTTACCAATATTTCGAGTAGGGTAAATTAGATAAAAATTAGGTAAATTTGGTGTTACCATTGTGAAAATTTTATAAGATGTTAATAAATAAATTTGAAAACTTTTAGCCAAAAATAATAAATAAGTGCAATAAATAAATAAATAAATATTTACATAAGTGCAGTGCAAAAAATCTCTAGGTAATATCAATTTACTTTACCTCAATTTACTCGAACCCGCACACGGTCTAAATTTAATTAATCATTAATCATCCTTAATCAAATATTATTGCATTTGAATGAAAAAATTTTATTAAATTTAAATTATTTAATTTTTCCAAACTCCGCTTACTTTCATATTAACAACAAATATTTATTTAATGTCTTTTTAATTTTATTATATTTAAAAGTCAGAGTACTCTGCTCCATTGAGCCATAAAACCCTATTATAATCAATGCGTTGATAAATTAAATAACTCATGTGAAAACCGTAAAATTAAATTCCCTTACGATATGAAATAGTAAAAAAAAGAAATTATGATTTTTTTTTAAAATTTCATATATATTTTTTTATTCTATAAATATTGCAGATTAATGTTAATATTCATTTGCCATTTTATCATACTTTTTAAGCAATTAAAAATTTTATAAACGTTAGTTGTGTAAAATATGTATCAATTTACTGATAAATATTTTATTTAATAAAAAAATATAAATCATTCCATATATTATATATATAAGCGTGAAAGAATTAAGTTTAATTTCATAGAAATT